AGAGTGCACAATAGAAATAAAATAATTGAGAGAAGAAAAAGAGAGATGTTATCTATCAAAACCCAGTTAGATTAACATTCATTAGATTGCACACTTTGTGTGTTTGTGTGGATATGTAGCATATTAACATTTTAATAGCACTTAATGACTGACTGAATGGAAATGACAATAAATGAAAATGTAAAACGAAAAAAGCGATCATGAAAATGTTTCCAAAAAATGAATTAAATGATTTTTGACCACTTTGTTGTTCAGATATATCACATATTTGTAACTAAATGATACATGAATTGAAACAAAACACGGTATAAACTGAGGAGTGAGTCCCGTGAGGTTCATGTCTTTTCTTCACTCCGCTGGGAAACTGCTCTCATGTCAAGAAGCATCAGATCAGTGCATGCACTGCATCGTCCAATCAGTGAGCGATACACAGTAAGGGGGCGGGGCGAGAGAGGATTTCATCGAAGGATGGTCTGGTGGTTCCTCGGTTATAGCTCCTCCATTATCGCTCCTCGCTCCTCCTGCAGAAATAAGGCCATTGGGACGCTACTCAAGATGGCGCAGACAAATCAACTTCCGGTGAGACCGAGACGCGAGGAAATTAAAAATAAGAGAAGTGAGAAGGGCCCATAGACTATAAAAGTCTTACCCAAGGCTGAATCATAAACTAAAATGTATATGTATGCATAAAAGGTTACGTCCTTAGCTGGCTAATAAGTAGCAAGCTAAGCTACCAAGCACACAAACACCTGCGAACGGGGTTAACATGTATAATATTATAAGTTTAGACTTCTTGGAAGTTCTGTTACATTCAAGTGCACAGCACAACATTTTAATTGTCTGGTATTTGTAACAATATTCCCTAAAAGTCACAATCACCACGAACACGGCTAAAGGGTCAAGTACAGAACTATGGTTGTAGCCTAGCAGAGTGGACAAGTTGCTGTTAGCTGACAGTGAGGCATGTACGTGTCCATCAACGTGACCACGCCCTAATTTATGCAAAAGCTTTAAGGCTTAATATTAATTAAACAGATGAGTTGAGAAAAAATTCACCCCCCACACAGTAGTCATGAAGGGGGAATCTAACTATACAGAGAATATGGTTTTTTGAACAACGATGTAAACATGTTTATTTAGTGCGTACAGCACTTCCTACGCCGGTTTCCCTTTAGAAATCACAATCGACTCGAAATGTGGTGCAGCTTTTGCGGGCTTCACGTAACGCCCATATTTGCCTATAAATAGTTAAAGAAACGCCCATTCATTCATTAATTTTGACTGACTTTTTGAAGAAGATCGCAGGAAATGACGACAGAACAGTTAAAAAAGACATCTCACACCGTGTCAGATTTTGGTTCTTTTGGGGAGGTCGAGATAAATCATATTGTTTGGTGGATGCAGTTTGAACCAGAGTAGCAGCATGGAGGTCGGATCGTCACCAAAATAAATAAATAAGTGGTCCGAAAAAGGTTAATGACAAAATAAATACACATAGCCTTCCTCAGGCAGTGTGTTTGTACCGGGGACAGGAGACACCCCCTTGATGAGAAACTCTAATAAATGATCGGGGAATCCCCCCGGTGTGGAGTCATGACGACTGGATCTGAATTATGTTTTTGTATTTGGTGGTTTGTGTTCCAGCTATCGATCAGCTGTGCGCAGCGTCTCCACTGCAGCCTGAGCATCTCAACCAGGCCCGGACTGGCCATCGGGAGGACCGGGAGGTTTCCCGATGGCCTGGCCTGCTAAGTGGCCTGCTGGCCTGAGGATTCTTTTTTGTATGTATCTATTGTGAACGCAACGCTGCGCAAATGTGGGTCTAACTCTGCCTCACAGAGGGTGACTGGCTGTCTACATAATGTGGCCTGCCCACATGGCCACTTTCATACAGATCATACACTAATGCCCTCGATTGGTCTCTGTGTCATTCAAGCTCGGGAGGGTGTGTGTATGTGTGGCGCGAGTGAGCGAGAGAGAGAGAGAGCGCGCGCAACGGTTACGTGTATTGTTGCTGTTAGCATCTGGTGCTAGCTAGCTGCGCTAACGGATATGAGGAGCTGTTTCAACAACAAGGTGGAGGAGATTCCTCTGCTGTCAGACTGAGAGACTGATAACTACAGCTCAGGTGAGGTAAATTACTCTCTGAGTGTTTAGATAGTTAATTTAGTCTAAGTTATCTCAGTGGGTCTCAAACGGTTTGGTCACCATTTATGTAAACACATATTTCCATTTGAGGGGGGAGTGAGATTAGTAAAATATGCATGAATAATAAAAATGTTAACTAGGTGAAAAAAGGTAAGATAAACTTTATAAACTTGTTGAGAGCTAAAACTAGTCTTTGCTTTGCTTCTAAAACTAGTCTTTGCTTCTGCCTCAAAGAGGAGCAGGGGGAGAGGGGGGAGACAGGAGAGGCTGGTTCAGGAGCACAGACACACTCACAACTATAAATGAACCAAAAATAAATAAACAAGTTTCAATGTTTTTTCATATTGGATATGGTATTTTATTGGTTATGGCCATGTACTTATGATTTTATGATTATTTAAATGTATACAGTTCTGTTTCATATGGGTGTAGTCTCTTTATTTCCCCCTCAAAGTGCACCAGATTGATGCATTTAAGTCCAACATTTAACAAACAAATCTTACCGGGGTTGCATGCCTCCGGACCCCCCTTGAGGATTTGAGGTCCAGCCCCACTTAAAATATGTTCACATGAATAGGTTCCTAAATAGATTTTCACATTTTTTTAAATAGTGACCCATCTCCATATGTTTATTTTTGGGTAGTAGATTTCAACTTTAGGGCTATCACTACGGGCAGCAACGCTGTAAATATTGACAAATAAATCCAGCAAAATGGCACAAAAAAAAACTGGTAGTGGCCTGGCTGGGTGTATAATTCCCGGCCTGACTTATGGCGCATTTCCACTGCAGCGGGTAGCCCCGTTTAAGCGTCCTTAACCGTCCTCAAGCGGCCAGGCCAGTTTTTGGTGGCCTTTCCATATAGCCTAGTACCGGCTAGCGGGTACTTTTTCCCTCTTTTCCGGCCCCATAAAATCGTGGTTCTATCAGACCAGGGCCAGGGCTGAACTAGTGACGTCAACACTCTCGACTGCTGATTGGCCAGAGAGAATCGTCACAAGATTGCGCGCGAGATCATCCCTAGCGTCGCATATATATCTAGAAGCAAGCTTGCAGCATTTTTATACACAGCATTTTTGTAAACGGAGGAGCTACAAAAATGGCAACGTCAAAGAAAAGCACACCGTGGTCGACCGAGGAGGTGACGACGTTCCTACATCTCATTGGGGATGATAAAATCCAGCGGGAGCTCGACGGAACAATGCGAAATGTGAAGCCGATCGCCCCGCCTACACTGCGTTGCTACCCCAGGTCCTAAACTGTAATGGAAATGCGCCACGGCCTCGGACGGCCAGCGAGGCAGCCCGAGGCCTGAGCGAGGACGCTTAGTGACGCTTAAACGGGGCTACCCCGTTCCAGTGGAAATGCGCCATTATTGTCCCAGTCCGGCCCTGATCTCAACCCCCCCCCTGCAGCAACTCTATATCCACCAGTTAAAGGAAATACAACTAATGTGTTGTGTTATATCAGCTGTACAATTGACCATATATGGTGTTCTTAGCTTCCATACCTCCTGTGTTTTACGAGCGACTTATCAAGTCTTGGCAAACGGCATAAAACACGATTAAACGTGATAGTATATAAAACCATGCTCGTATCTACAACCTATAGAAATGCAACACGGCGTCAGTTTAGGCGTAATTCTGTCCTCCTGCTTACCGCATCATTTATGAGAAAACATTTCATAACATTAACACAACATATTCGAGGTGGTTTCAAATAACATATCCGTATTTATTTATTTCTCCAAGTTATGTTCTTGTGTGCACTGAGGAGTCTCAAACAGGCGTTTGTTTAATCATTTTAAGATTGGCTTTAATCAATGTTTGAAAATGAATTCTTCATATATGATGAATGAGAGGTAACATTTTATTTATGGTATTATTTCCACATATTTCTCTCCACTCTTCCTTCTGCCAACGGTGTCGCAGTTTCTCGTCTCTCCCGTGTTTGTGCTTAGTGCGTACGCATGGGTTAGAGTTTGCGTGGAGGACCGCACGTTTTCCCATCAAGTTAGTATTTTATAAATCGCAAACATTGCGTAGAAACTGGCGTACGCCATCTTTTGAGCGTATATCCCTTTATAAATGAGGCCCCAGAGCCGGACTGGGACAATAAGTCAGGCTGGGAATTATACACCCAGACACTACCAGTTTTTGGCGTTTTGCTGGATGTATCTTTAATATTTACAGCGTTGCTGCGTATAGTGATGGCACTATAGTTTAAATCTACTACCCAAATAGATACATATGAACATACAGTAGGTTACTATTTTATAAAGTGTGCACATTTATTTGGGAAACTATCCATGTGAACATGTTTTAAGTGGGGGTGGGCCTCATATCCTCTCGGGCGGTCCGGGGGCAACGATTGTTGTTGAAACAGCTCCTCCCCACAGAGATCAATCGAGAGCATGGATGTATGATCGGTACAATACATCAATAAAAATCCTCTCCACTTAACAGGCCAGGCCTGTCTTTAATATGTGTACTTGTGCCACTTTCTGCAATATGTAAAATATTGTCTTGGATGGGAAGGATAAATCCAAAGAGAATGTTCATCAAATCTGCAGACACCTCTCTGCTGTGTGTCTGCGATTGTTAACTGCTAATGTTAGCATTAGCATCAGCCTGCCAGTGACCTGCTTAGCATTAGCATTGAGCTCAAGTACAGCACCAGTACTGTACTTTCATGCTGGTTTATTTGTGTATCTCAAGACAAAATAATAGAGCACCTTTTTAAGGCTTGAATGTTAGAATGCACATATTCAAAGTGCTGATATAAATGAACCTGTGTAGTGACTGAGGTGGGTGAACATTGCCTGTAAAAACAGTGTGATGGGTTTAAACAGAGGGTGAGTCATGTTGAGTTTTTAATAGGTTTGATGTGTACATTTGTAACAGCAATGTGTGAAAACAAAACTGCAGTTAGCCCCAAGTTAGCCAACTCAAAGGATAGTTTTCTTGGTATACATACATGACATAATTCACAATCTAGACTTAAAGTACATGGAAATTACAGTACAGTTTTCTAATCTGAGACGCAGTCTCAGATTAAGCCACTAAATGATGTGTTTCTGCCCAGTGACATTGTAATAGACGCTAGTGTTCACAAGGACATGAACTGCATCTCCAAAGTTTCTTTACCAAATGTTCATGTTCTCCACACAACAGAAGAGCTCCACACAGAGAGAACAACAGTGCAGCCACAATATGGGCTCAGAGCTAACCTCACAAGGCAAGAGGTGGGGCGGGGGGCCAGCAGTCCTCCCCTCCCCTTCTGTCACTGCAGACCGCTCACAATCATCATAGTTCCCTCATCAGAAAGGGACCATCTTAACCTCACTGTCAAAGTAAGTCGCAACATTTAAAAGAAAAAAATTGACAAACTTTCAAGCGTTAAAAATATCATTTATAACTTCCCTCTGTCCAGGCATGTTAGCTTTCCTTCCTTGTTTTGTGATTGGGGCAGATGTCTTGGAGACATATCTCTAGAGGAAGTGAGAAGATGTATCATTTGGATGAACAGACCCTTAGAATGCCATCACATGTAAAGTAGACTTCTTTTATTTTGTATCATTTCCTTTAGGACCATGCTGTGTGATTCCAGCCATCTACTACAAATAATTAGCCAGTGTGTGAGTCTAAATCATGCCACAGCTGTTTCTGTAAAGCATCACTGCATATCAACATCCTGCGCACCAAGTGATGTCATGTAGAGTATGTAGTGTGCTCCAGATGCTTTAGCATGTGGCTATGTTTTTGTGACAAATGCCTGAATGTGTATACCAATATCAGAACATGAGAAGAGAGCTTCCACAACATAATCAACTGCCCCACAATGCATTGCGGCTCTTCAGACTGCAGGCAGATGGTTTAATTATTGCACTGTTGGATAAAATAATCAGGCATGATGGTTGATGGTACAATTAAGAGCTACAGTATTAAACAATAATTGTTTCAATTTTCATTCCATGGTGGCACGGACCAGTGTCATTACAATCGATGGTCATGTAAGCTAAAGCGATGTCAGGGGTTTTAAACAGTCATGTTAGCCATGCAGTCTGTTATGCAGAGAAAACATATTGCTTGATACTTCAGTGTAAACTATCAATGTAGCAGACAGCTGGTGATAGCATACTGGTTAACTCAGTATATACAGAGCAGTATGTAGTGTGCAGTACGGTGCTGACTTCCAACATAGTTACTGTTTCGAGAAACTCCAAAAGCAATTCATCTTATCAGACTCTGCTGAAGTGAGAGGAGAGGGAGTTTTCAGACTGAAAATGTCAATGTATGAAATAATGTACGATTGTTTAACTACTATTTCTCTTATTTTGAAAAATATGTTTGGCGATATTAAAATATGTTTCCAGGAGCAGAACGTTCTGCAGTGAAATGATGTCCGTGTATTAAATAGGCTGCGTGAAGCACTAGTATGATCATAAAGGAACAGATGCACATCATGTTTTAGCCATGAATAAAACAAAAGCATGAACACCAGGCACGTCAGGGCCGCAGCGGTCTGACAAGCTGGAAACCTTTTTAACAAATCACTTTTTTCAACAGCTGACTCTAACCCAGCCTTTCTTTTTTTGGTGATTCAAAAATGGACCAGACTGAAAGGAAAGGGTCTGAGCAGCCAACTTAGCCACAGCTAGGAAGGAGCGGATGTGAATATAAAAAGTGTCTATGGATTTATAGCTCCTGCCCATGTGGCAATGGAGAGGAGCCAATTGATAACCCAAAACATGCAACATTACATTTGGTTTCTTTCGTAGGTTATGGTCATTAAACTTGAGATGTGAGGACTGTTATGAGTCCATCATTGTATTCCGATATCCTATTTAATTGTGCAGGTTTCCAAAATAATATCTCTTGGTAGATTTTATTTCAGAAACTACATTAATATACAATGTGAACCAAAAATACCAACCATCTGAGTTCCTGTTAAGTCATGCCACATTTTTGCAAACATATAGGCCTCTTATAAAAGCTTTTACATTAAAAAGCTATACAGTCATTTTAATGTAACCTTCAATAAATAGTCTAAGCTGCGAAGGCCACCTGCCTATTAGTGGGGGGGTAAAGCGAAGAGCGATACTCCCAACTCCTCTCACAGACAGAACAGGTCATGTGTTGTGGGGGGGGGGGGGGGTGACGCGAGGGATTGGGGAGAGGTGTGATCAGTCAGTGTTATTTCTTGCTGCGCAGCCGTTTGGACTGTCGGGGGCGCTCTGAGCTCTTTCTGCTGCGTTTGAGTGATGCCCCCCCCTCGCCCTCATGCCCTGTGGATAGAGAGGACCCACTGCTACTTGCCGACCCCCCAGCAGACGTGGCGGCCGCAGCAGAGGACACGCCGGCGCTGCTGGAGGTGGAGGGGGCCGCCCCCCCCATGGCAGCAGCACTGCTGTCCATCAGCTCGCGGAGCTTGTGCTCCAGCTCGGCCAGCCGGGCGCTCTGCTCCCCGATCACCTGCGTCTGCTCCTGCAGCTTCTGCTCCTGGTCCTGCAGCTGCTTCTGCTGCTCCAGCTGCTTCACCCGGATCTCCGTCATCTCCCGCCGCAGCACCGTCATGGATGTCCCGTTCACTTTCACCTGCTGCTGCACCTTGGTCATCTCAGAGCGCGACGGCGTGTTCTTGGCCAGCAGGGACATGGTGGTCAGAGAGGTGGAGGGTCCGGCCACTGGGGGAACAGGACAGAGGGTCAGGGGTCTTCACTACAAACTGCTACACACGCAATAAGAGACGCTGCAGGGCAGAAGGAAAATGCAGAACATTTTGTCTTGAAGAATGTGCCAAAACTAAAAAACTGTTTTTGTATAGATTAATCACTCAGGTATTTAAAAATAAATACAATCTATGTGTGAATTATCAAATGTCTACTTTTGTATAGCCAGAAAGCATCACACTGGGGAAGCAGAAAACACAACCCATTCTTGAACAAAATAATCCAATAATTGTGATTGAATATACGTCTGATAAATTAACAGTTGGAGCTAATGCAAAAAAAGCCACCTCAAGCAACAGTCGGACACAAGGTTGAACAAACAGAACTCTGATGTTTCAATGAGTCACATGACAGCAGACATTAATAGTCTTTTAGATGGGAAATTAAAGTGGAAACCCTTCCACAAACAGAGACTCACTGTTTTTTGCCCGTAACTTTTTTGCCACAAAAGACTATTTATTTTTTATGTGAAAATAAGCCTCCGTGCTGAAAGGACAGATATTATGTGAATATTTAGCACCTCACAGTGAAGCTTGGGCCCCCATGAGAGCTGCTTTTGGTGACTTTTCTTTTGAACTCTCGTTCTTAGCGCCCACAGAAACACGTGTCAACTACCTGGTGTGGAGCCAATGAGGCGCCCGGACAGGTCGGCCCCCGGCAGCTTCTTCTTCAGGATTGGAACGATCTTCTCATCAAAGTACTCCATGGCCATGGAGGAGATATCCCTCAACTCCTGCAGGACCTCATGAGCCCGCTGGGGGGCTCGAGTGGAGTTCACGTAGCGCAGCACGCGGTAAATCTCATCTATTACCTAAAAAAACAAAGACACACGACACAGCAGATAAGATAGTACACCAGGAGAGGACTGAATGCTGTGAAGACCTCAGAGCCTCCCCTGTGGACAGCTCGAGAAACTAAGAAATCACATCGTGGCACAAATCAAAACAGATGAGTGTGAGTTTCCTGCTCTCCTCTGTGAGGAAGACTCCGGCTGCTGCAGTGGGGAGCAGCAGAGCTCACCTTTCCAGGGATGAAGCAGCAGAGGTTGGAGTCCACGTATTTCATGAAAGTCATGTTGAGCAGAGACAGGCGCGTCTCCACGGCAGCCAGGATGTCTGCGTGACGGGCCAGAGAATGATTCCTCCTCTCAGACTCTCGCCTGGAGAACATTCAGATTAACACACTGGTGAGGGTCGTTTTTTAACAGAGAACTATTTCATTTAAATGGTGCATGACAACTACATCTTGTCCCTGAGCTACACAGTGCAATGGAATAAGTCAATGTTCTACCACTAAGGAGAAACAGGTTTAATAAGGCGTGGTCAATTCTTTGATGAATTGTGATTCTCTCTTTTATGATTCAAACAACACGTCTGCATCAAAAGCGTTCCTAAATTGTTTTCAGCTGGGTCGGCAGTTCATCTTTCGACTGTCTGGCTGTTCACATTCCCATGTTAAGAAATCGTTTTTAAAAGCATTTCAGTACAGTTTTCTGAGGGATATGAATTGGAACATGTTTGCTCAGAATAAGAAAGACTCAGAAGACAGAAGGTTTCGCCTGAGGAGATGTTGGTTAGAGCATCAGACGGAGGTTCTGAACCTGCTTTGAGTTTTGGACTCCTTGAGATGAGCCCTAACACACACATTCAAGTCAAACAGCAGCCAGCACATCGTGGCTCTTTACCTCTGCTGTGAGCGAGCACATGTACAGTATTCAGCTTCAATCTACATGTCTGTGTACACTGGCAGCACAACAGCCTTTTAACAAAAAACACTTTGACACCTTTTTTTTTTTTTAAACTGGTGGGGACACTTTTTTCAGATTAAAAAAACACTAGTGCATTGAGCCCCCGCAAACACATACATCATATGCTTACAATACTTTTTTTGGACAAAAAGTGCAGTAACTATGGTATTCTGCTGCAAAGCTATTCTCAATTCAATTATTACTATAATATCCAACGTGGTCTCAGGTCCAAACTGCACCACCAGAAATACAGCCAGAAAGTGTGAACAGTCCTCCAGATTGAACATGTTCTATTGTGCAAATAAACCTTCTCATAGTGTACAATTCTTTGTGCACACTATTTTTTACAAATATCCTAATGCAAGGTGGTGGGGACATGTCCCCAGTATAAATGACCTGTGACCTCACTGTCTTTTTAGTCTCTGTCCTACTACTGAACTAAGAGCACATGTAGAGAGGCTGTAGCTGCCGTCACTCTGCTATGAGAAAGTCATCTTAGCCACAGATTGAGGTACTTTAGGTATTTGATAATGATCATTTTAATATGAAGCAATACAATAGTTAACAAAAACATATAAAAGCTACATCTGCATCAGTGTCAGAATCAGAGGCAAAAGTAACCTATAATTGCCCTGTTCAAAATCAATGTTGTTTTCTTCCCTAATCACCATACTTAGGCCCCGTCCACACGGAGACGATTTCAGTTGTACCCGCTAAAGTTCTTTATCGTATTATAGACGGTTCGTCCACACGAAGTGGAAAGTGGGTAGGCCTGGAGAGTAAACGCTTGCGGCTCCGTGTGTACGCTCTATACGATCATTTCCTGAAACGATGACGCCATAGCCCCACCTTTCCTGCTCACCCCCGCGTCATTGCTGATGCGTTTCACCAACAACAACAACAACAACGGCGGATCACAGGGTCGTCAGTCCACACAAATGCCTCCCTTCTTGCACAAATATCCGCCATCCTCTACCTTGTTTGTTTATCCCCTATGCCCTTGCTCGGGGGGTCTTATTCGCTGCTTTTGGTGTATTTTGTGGCGGAAGTACAGCGCCACTTACAGGCCCGACATATGTACTACAGCGTCTCGAGCGGTTTCGTTTGGATGGACACGTTTCTTGAGCCGATTCCGTGTGGACGGAAGACTTTTTTGAAATCCACTTCGGTTCGAAATCCGTTTCGTCTCCGTGTGTACGGGGCCTTATTTACTTCAAGAAAATTCCACTGACAGGCTGCAATACTAACTGTGACCACCAGTGACCCAAAGACACCGCTGAAAAGTTAATCCAGTTTTCGAAATGTCCTCAGAACCTCAGAACCTTTTTTGGTATGTCCTTGTGCTCATGTTGTTCCAAAGTGTGTGGGACCAGATGTGTTGTGGACACTGACCTGGGCAGCTGGGCCTTCACCTGCCTCTGGCACAGGCTGTGGTAGCGCTCCACCTTCAGGAAGCCCTGGTTCAGGATCCGCTGGCAGATCGTGTCCATGCGCTTACACACCTGCAGGAGACACAACAGAAGACAGCTCAGCAACAGGGACTCTGTCTCAGGAGTACACACACAGGCCAAACACCTTTGAGAGGGAGCAGGACAACATGTCCACGTTCCAGCTGCAGTCTGGATCAGGAAGACATTTCCACGTTCCAGCTGCAGTCTGGATCAGGAAGACATTTCCACGTTCCAGCTGCAGTCTGGATCAGGAGGACATGTCCACGTTCCAGCTGCAGTCTGGATCAGGAGGACATGTCCACGTTCCAGCTGCAGTCTGGATCAGGAGGACATGTCCACGTTCCAGCTGCAGTCTGGATCAGGGGTTGCCTCACACCTTGACGTGATCACAAGTCTCCAGGTGACTCTGAACACGGGGTATCTTAATTATTTTTTCCCTAACACTGATTCATTGGACTGGAATGTTTTGTATCATATTCTATATAAATGTTGGGATATCTGTAAAGAGGATATTCAAAGATTAAAGTTCAAAGGCTTCATCTGCACAGTAGCTACAGCGTAGTTCTGGCATGGAATTCTGGCACCCCAGGTTCCTCCAACAATGCAACATACATACACACATGTACTTAAGACATAACAATGGATAGTGCACAAATACATAGAAATCAAATGAAAATTCAATCTAAATAAAAGTACAAATAAAATATTGTAATATAAATGTGCAAGTGACACAATGTGCAAATAAATGCAAAAAGTAAACTAGTAAAAACATATACATGTAAAAAAAAACTGTTAACATGTATGCGAAGACACCTAATAGAGCTCAGAAGTTTAGGGTCTCAGTCTGTGGGAGTGCAAATGAGGATCTGCTGTGGCAGCCCATCTCCCAAAAACCACCAACTTAGTTTATTAGTTTATTTGTCAGGGACAATAGCCGCTTTCACACCAAGTACTTTGCCGTACTTACTTCCCAGTACTTAGTGCCGCCGAACGCTTTAGACCCGGAACTGTCCTATTAAATTGCGTTCACACCGGAATAAGTCCCTGAGGGAGGATTACGCAAATGAAGCCGCTGACGTCACTTCTTCTTCTGCTTTGGGTTTACTGGCAGGCCACAAACAACTTCACGGCGTATACTGCCACCCGAAGTCCGGGGGAAATCGCCAGAAGCGCCGACACCTCCTCATCACTCCACCGCTCCCACGTTTTATTTTGTGCCATAAGATAGTCTCTCTCTGTTGGTGCACTGGGCTAATGCTAATAATGCTAATGCGAGCAAATAAAATGGCGGCTTCACAAAACCTTTTTTTGTTTTACGGAGTGTGGTTTGCAATTCGCCCAGCCAATCAGAAATTGTAACCTTTTCCTCCCCAGGAAAGTACCACCCGAAAAAAGTTCTAGTTCCAGATCTTTTTGGTGTGAACGCAAAATCTCAGGAACTATCGGAACTATTCCTGGGAAAAGTACTCCGGTGTGAAAACGCCTCATGTTCAAGAAGAACATACATTTCAAAGAGATAAGATGCTTTGTACCAGATTATAGCAGCTCATTTCCACCTGCAGTCCCTGGGCAGGTCAACACAGGATAAAGCACATACAATTCAATAACAACATTAACCAGTGGCGAGCCGTCAGGGCCCTCTAGGCCCTCTGTGAGGGCCTAAGATATTCTAAAAAATAATATTTGAAAACATTACAAAAAAAAGATTTTTTTTAATATTTTTTTGTTGTTACATTTTTCATTAATTTTACCAAAATAACTTGATTTAATTGTATTTAAAATAATATTTCCAGAGAAATAAATCCTTCGAATCTGCCTGTTCAGTTTCTGTTGGAATGTGAAGGGTTAAACGCCGTCTCTGCGAGTTATGTGAAGACGGGAGAGCTTGTTGGTCCCTCTGTAGATTCACAGAGGGCCAGCTATAGTAACTCAACCAGAGAGTAATGTCAAATGACAGTACAATTGACCAATCATATCTTCCCTCTAAATGGGCGGGCTTTATTTTCGCGGACTTTATGACAAGTTCCGCCCGCTGTGAGGTCTATGCAAGTGGTGCAGTGACGCGTCCTAAAACCCGGAAGTAAGCTTCACTCGGATTCCCTCGACAGAAAGCAGTGAGATTTCTCCAGAGGATTTTGGAAAATAGCTCGAAATAAGGTCTGTGGAAAACGAACCTGTTAGATAAATGCACGTTTTGTTCAGCCGGATAATATCCACATGTCTATCCTACTTTTATTATTTTTGATAGATTTATGATTAGCATAAGTTCGTTCATGATGGCTCACTTCAGTGATAAAGATGACATCGTTGCGAAATTATTAACCGAGTCATTTTCAAGATTGAGTTACAATGATAAACTGGAGTGGCAAAGGATCAGCTGAATGACCCGCCATCAAGTGCTTCATCCAAAAGGACAGGAGGATGGACTTTGTGTTTAAGTGATTTGATCATCAAAGGTAGGCCATTTTCAATGTGGGCCGCCGTGCCGACTTAATTCATTTGTAATTGCTACTTGGCTGTGGGTGCCCTGTCATGATAGGTGTTTATATAAATGATGTTGTTTTGTGTGGTAGAGGGTCGCTGTCATTGATGCGTTTTGCACCCCGGACCACTGTTTTGATATTCCGCTGAAGTCTACGTTGAGACGTAATATCTCTTCTTTTTTTTCCAAGGGAAGGGGGGGTCAGAGGGCCTAGGTATAAAAGTCACGGCTCGCCACTGACATTAACACATATGATATCACAACATATGTCATACACGCACACACTAATACACTTCACATTAAATGTACATTTCTATCTTCAAAATTAAAAGATATGACTCATTTAAATAAAATAAGAAAAAAATATACGAATCGCAGAAAGCTAAACTAATGTGTGAACATACTTGGCTGAATTTTTTTTTCAAAGGGGGTACATTATTGAAAAAAGTTTGAGAATCACTGGTTTAAAGCATGCATATGTTGGTGTGGGTTGGTGTACAGCAGTGACCACCAACTGGCGGCCCGCGGGCCACATCTGGCCCGCACGACGGGGGTGACTGTGGTGTTGGCGGAGTGGTTAGTGCGGTTTTTTTTTTACAACGTCTTGTGAGTAAGGTGCAGTACCGGAGTCCAACAGAGAGGCAGCAGCTGCGGGTCAGTAGACTGCATACTGCGAAACCTTCCCTGCCTTGAAGAAGAAGTGATCCTTCGTTGTGAAGAGTCTGCTTTGTGCGCTCCGCACCACCGCAACAGCCCTGCTGCGACAGAGTCCAACAGAGAGGCAGGAGCTGCGGGACAGTAGCCTAGAAGCAGGGTTGGGTTGTAACGGAATACATGTAACAGCGTTACGTAATCAGAATACAAACATCAAGTAGGCTAACTGTATTCAGCTGGCGTTACATTTGAAAAACGAGTAATCTGATTACAGTTACTTTCGTAAACCTGAAGTGAATACATTTTGGAATACTTATTGGAATTATTGGTGGAAAAGTTTCCGCACAAAATGTAATATTCATTACCGGCAGAACTGTGTGCACACTGCACAGCGCTGCAGCATGTCTGTGAGCGAGAGAGAGATGCAGAGTGTCTGTGAGGCCCCGCCCCCGCACGCAGATGAGAGAGAGATCTCTTTTAAACTATATTGAAAGTTAGAAACGGAGATGGTTAGATAAAATGTGCAAGATAACATTTATGTAGCGTTTCTTTATTGTCGAAATGATGACATTTATAACGGGATGAAATCAAAGTGAATGGCCTGCTGCTGCTGAATGCATGGGGCAAGTGACTGGAAACAGTTTTAAAAGTTATTACATCGTTTCAGATAATAATAATAATAATGATAATTCATTCTATTTAGGGGCGCCTTTCAAAGCACCCAAGGACACCTTACAATTCATAACATATTCTAAGGAAAGGTTTTAAGACAGTACAAAGAATGTTGATGTCGCCAGGGAAAAGAAAGTTTGGGGCTCTCTGCTGGAACTGCTACCCCCGCGACCCGACCACGGATAAGCGGGAGAAGATGGATGGATGGATGGATGGATGGACAAAGAATGCAGTCCGGGTGATGTTTTTTATGTGTGGTGCAGATGAGAGAGCTGTCCAGAATGACACCAAGATGTTGTGTTTGAGTTCTTGATAAGCCATTAAAACAGTAAAATACGTGTCTCCTGTTCACCAAAACATACCCATCTGTTATGGAAAAAGAAAGTATTCCAAAAGTAATCTGAATACTTTTTTAAGACACGTAACTGTATTCTGATTACTTTCAGAGCATGTATTCAGTATTCAGTAACTGACGACATTTACGACAACCCTGCCTAGAAGTGATCCTTCGTTAGCGTGAAGAGTCTGCTAAGCTTTATTATGCGGTCCGCAGTGCCTGAGCGTGCTCCACTAGCACCCCTCCCCCCCCCCGTCAACAACTTCAAAATTCTGGGCTATATAAAAATCGCTGACCCTCGATAGTGTCTATTGGATACATTTTGGCCCTTGGACAAATGTAGTTGGTGATCCCTGGTGTACAGCATGCATATAGCAGTGTGTTGGTGTGTGGGGTCCAGTGATGGAACCGTTCCTCTCAGCTAACACACTGAGATCTGCGGCCGTGGCGCTACGTACACAGCTGCACACACGTTTGACACCACACGCTTTATAACAGTCTCCACAGTCATTTATATTCCGACTTCATATCACTAGTGTCCAGAGAGCAGACGTGTTGGCTAGCTTTAGCTCCGTTCACCTTCGGGCTGCTTGTTTTTGTTCTTACCGCGCGCAGCAGGCTGATCTCGTCGTAAGACAGGAAGTGGAGGATGTTCTCTATGGCCACGATGGGCAGCCCGAGCAGCGGGTTGTTCTGGTGCGGCTGCTCCGGGGGAGGGCTGCACTGTCTCGGGGATCCCGAGTCTGAGTCCAAGGACCCAACACATCCATCAACTCTCTCTACGACGGCCGCCATCTTGCTCTGAGAAGGAGGAGACGGAAGTGACGCATCAATGAGAAGCCAGTGTGATGAGCATGGATGTATGGTGATGAGAGTGAATGAAATGTTACAAATGCATTAGAAACTTCATCCAGAGTGTAACCCTGGCCTCAGGGACATTCGAAAAGAATGTATCCGTTTTAAATAAAGTTAGAGGTTTCATTAAAAAAGTGTACATAGCCTATAATTTATCCTGTAAAAAATACACTAGATTTAAAATTGATATTGACTACTTTTGTCATTTCTGCAATTTAGGCTACATGACGAAACTCGAAACTACATTTTTACTTAGAATTACAACAATACCACTATTACAAATTGTAAAAAGAATAAGAAGGCAATCAAAACCAAATGTATATTTTTATTAATACTTTTGCTTCAAATGTTACCTTTTGTTTTATCACTATTTTCTTTATATGTATTTATGTCTTAATATGTATATTTATAAAGGCGGAAAAGCTTTGACCCTAACCCATGGAAAACTGAAGAGAACTAAATACAAGAGACAGTTCCATATAAAAAATTTGACGCAGTTTTTTCACTTGGGGTTGTTAAGTTATCCTTTATCCTTATCCAAAGCCAGTTTGGAGGTCATTCTAAATTATTTAGGCTGATTTTGAAAATCACTGCAAAACACAGATAACACAAACTTAAAGATGCACAGAATAATGTTGAAACGATCCAGTCTTGACAAATCAATGTGATGATCGCTTTCTTATAACTTATCAAGTATTAATAGTATTCATCTTTTAAGTATGCTTAATAAAATTCGTCATAGGCTTCTTGTGAGAAAATCTTTGAGGTTTCCATGTTGAAAAATCTTCCTCCAGCCTCATGCTTACTTTGCCTTTTAAGCTGATATCATTGACCTTCTGGCTGAGTTGCATGCAGTCTATGGTTGCATGTCATCTGGCCCATAATCCACTTGCTTATCACAAGCTGTCTAGCAACACTATCAAGTTAAATTAGCTCCACTTTTAACAAACAAATCACTAACTATTGTTTAGTATTTTAAGAAATGGGGAATCATAAATAATGAATATTTTTTACTTCTGGTACATTTTGATGCTTTTACTTCCGTCATTTTACTAACGTAAGATTTTGAATCAGAATTTATAGCTGAGAGTATTTTTTTACTGTATTATTGCTACTTGCTACTTTTTTGTTTATTTTTCACGAGATGTACGTGTATTACCAAACATGCAATGCATCACTGTGGATATCTTGCTTATTTTGCTTTTTTATTTCATTATATGCGCATCTGAATCTGACCAGTTCAATCCCTTCAGAATCCGTTGTAGTGTATTATTGTGTGAAAAACAGTCTTCACCGTCATGTTTGTATCTTTATTTGAAGCTGAAGAGGGTGACCATATTCATCAGTTCTCCCCCGACCCCAGGACCACTCTTTCCATTCCTCTGAATGCCAAGTTCTTCATCTGGAGCCTCCACTCCGGAAGCCTCCATTCGCCAAATGCTCCAGCTGCTGTTCCATGGTTGACTCTCCCATTTGGTCCTTACTCTCCCTGCCCGATGGGGGAGGTTCTCCCTCCAGCATTGAGTGTATGAGGTTGGCAGGACACGTGTCTTCAAAGCTGACATGTTCTTTAATATGAATGACTTTGTGTTAGTACAAAGCATGGGAGCAAACATTTTTCTCTCTGTTTTTATCCAAAAAGCCACACTAAAACACAAGTGATGTTTCCTACTTTAAAGGGATAGTGGAAATCCGCGAATTTTAGGTTTAACTTATGTATTTTTATTAAAAATAAGCATAATAAAAAAATTTTTTAATTTCATGCGCCTAGTTTCATTTTATTTTCAATTTTACTGCGCCCTCTCAATGAAACGAAATACTTCGGGAATCGTCGGGAATCTTCGGGTGATGACGAGAGCAAAGGAAGACGGGCACAAACAATGGCGGACATTCAATAGCATTTGCATGTGAATAGCCGACCTTTATTATGGTGAATAGATGTGTTTTGTATGGCTGTAGTGCGACAGCAAATGCAGAGAATGGCGTATCGACGCATGCGTTTCCAAGAAAACCAGCCATTCGTCGTCAGTGGGTGAAATTTGTTCAGATAACACGGGCAAACTTCACGGAGCCGAAGCTGACGAGTAATTCGGCAGTCGTGTGCTCCCGTCATTTTACTGACGATTGTTTCGAGATTCCTCGGTCTCTAGCTCAAATTGAAAGTGGAATACATAAGAAGTGAGTATTTTATTATGTTTTCTTGTTGATTTAATGCATCATTAGCCTGTACCATTTTGTACAACGCCATTTATCCGGTACACAGTGTCGAATGTGTACACTACAGTCATCATATAGACATGATAGACTAATGGCGCGTTTCCACTGCAGCGGGTAGCCCCGTTTAAGCGTCCTTAACCGTCCTCAAGCGGCCAGGCCGGTTTTTGGTAGCGTTTCCATATAGCCTAGTACCGGCCAGCGGGTACTTTTTCCCTCTTTTTCCGGCCTCATAAAATCGTGGTTCCCTCAGACCAGGGCCAGGGCTGAACTAGTGACGTCAACACTCTCGACTGCTGATTGGTCAGAGAGAATCGTCACAAGATTGCGCGCGAGTTCATCCCTAGCGTCGCATATATATCTAGAAGCAAGCTTGCAGCATTTTTATAAACAGCATTTTGTAAACGGATGAGCTACAAAAATGGCTACGTCTAATAAGAAAAGCACACCGTGGTCGACCGAGGAGGTGACGACGTTCCTACATCTCATTGGGGATGATCAACTCCAGCGGGAGCTCGACGGAACAACGAGAAATGTGAACAAAAACAAAGCTGATCGCCCCGCCTACACTGCGTTGCTAGCCCAGGTCCTAAACTGTAATGGAAATGCGCCACGGCCTGGGCCGGCCAGCGAGGCAGCCCGAGGCCAGAGCGAGGACGCTTAAACGGGGCTACCCCGCTGCAGTGGAAACGCGCCATAACAGTACTGTGAGTACAGCCTACACTTGACAGGCAGCCTGGCTATCCTAGGATGTTGTTTACTTTCTCTTTTCTGGCTGATAGCTCCAGGAATTCGAGGTCTTACAGTGATGACATTACATGTGTGGAATCTGTGGAGTCTCAGCTTTAAATCGTATATCTTGTTTGTGCAGTTAAGATAAGGGCATTTCTACCGTGTGTTGTGTGTAAAAAAGCGTTAGCATTGTTTCGCTCAATGCTAATTCAAAGGCTTGGTATTACTCTTGTGTTTTTTCTAGCTAACAATTGTTCTTATTGTCAGTTAGCGGAGTTTCTTACCTTTAAAAGGGTATGAAACATTAATAGTTTCATAAATGTTAAGAAGCCCTGAGACATGTGAGAGAAAAAAAACTGTGGGAGGGGTCCACTGGGGGGACCTTCGGGCTTAACTGGTTAACAATGATTAATATTTGTAAAGGCTACAGGTGATCTTAAGATGCGTGAGCTATGCTTAGGGACCTACCAGTCAAGATTATTTGTGCGTAGGGGTGCATCATCTGGCGCCTGGTCCTGGTCATCCTCGCCATTGCCCATGCCGTGAACCATCACCTCGGGCTCGGGCTCGAACAAATAAGGACGTAATGGTCCATCGTCTGGCTCAATATTGTCACCATCGTCGCTTACTGAACCGGATTCAGATTCAGTTCCTAAAACGACATTTTCGTAGGAAAGCCGAGAGGATGTTTCTGACTCGCTATCATCACTGGATACCTCGTACAATCCTTCTTCTTTGTCTGGTATATTTGCCCTTCCACGTTCATTCTGCATAGACGCCATGGTTTGTTATCGTATCGTCTTCCTGAGTTTTCGTCACTTCCGGTTTGGCTGAGTCGAACATTTCGTTTCTAAAAAACTTCGGGGAAGCTGCAATAAAGTGCTTCTAACATGCGTAAGGCAATTATTATATTTTTTTAATCAGGTGTGATTGTTTTGGTACGTAATTATGCTTGTATATAAGTTAAAACGAAACTATTTGAGGTTCCATTTCCACTATCCCTTTAAGTATCTAAAACCTTTTCATTTAGACTCTGGCTCTCTTTGGACTTGTATACCTGAGAATATGCTGGTGCTGCTACGCCTCCTAACATCCACTACCACCAGCCCCAAAGATGGCTCTCGTATCTGGTTTGCACAAGAAGGCTTTGAAACTAAATATAATTACTTTACATTTTCATTACTCAAAACAACCCTTTACAGTCTTAGGTTGGATTATTTCGAGGGTGGGGGGGCCTTGAGCTCATGACCTCTGTGTTAAATCCCATCATTTGCCTATATTACACAAATTAAAGAGTGACAAAGAATGAAATCACGGAAGGAAGAAGAAATACTGAGATCTTGTACTTAAGTACAAGAGGGCATGAATACTCTGTTACAGTAAAAGTCCTGCATTCAAAATGTTACTCAGTGAAAGTAGAAAAGTGTTATCATCAAAATATAGTGAAAGTAGCGACAGTAAAAGTATTCGTTGTGCAGATTGGCCCATTTCAGAATAATATATATGATGTTTTATAATGATTGATCATGAAAGTGTTCTCAAAGCTGGTAAAGGTGCAGCTAGGTTGAATGACTTTGTATACTGCAGGGTAGCTGGTGGATTTACTCCAGGTGGAACTAAAGTCTGATTCAACACTTGGTTAGATTTCACATTCATCCATATCTGTGAAGTAACTAAAGGTATTAAATACATGTAGTGGAGGAAAAGTACACCATTTACCTCTGAATTGTAGTGGAGTAGAAGTACAACGTATCAAGATATTGAAATACTCAAGTAAAGTACAAGTATCTCAAAATTGTACTTAAGTGCAGCAGTTGAGTCAATCTACTTAGTTACTTTACACCACTGTGACATTGTGACAGTGTTCCATAATTCCTCAGACATATTTGTGTGCAGCGGTTTCTTGGTACTGGCAGACGTTTGATAAATCTGTAATGTACTAATTGCCGGCCGGCTGATACACCCAATGGGCTTTAACGCAGTAAAAAAAGTGTAATGTGCATTTACTCGGCATGTTCATATACATGCTGTGCTTCCATAAATAAGATATGACATAAGAGGATAACTAACAGGGTATCAGAGGAGCTTTATGTATGAACATCTGACACATGCTGTCGAGTGCTGATATCAGACTCATTATTCAGGTCTATATAAACATAAAATAATGAGGTAGGGTCTACTGATGTAATATTTCCAAACATGTTCAGGAGGTACAGGGTCCGGGCATTTAATAAGGTCACACTAAAGCACTCTAAATCCTCTTTAATCGCAGATCAAATGTACATTAGAGGGTCTTGAGCTAGTTTCTCTTCAGTGATTTTGATGTTCTGTTAAAGGTGGGGTAGGTAAGAATAGAGAAACCAGCTGGAGTGCGCTAGAATTTGAAAATACACAGCCGGAACAAATCTGCCACTTCCTCACAGAGCCCCTCCTCCAACACACACAAACGCGCACATGACCAATGAGGGCATGAGATAAGTTTGTGCACAGATGGAAGGCTGACAGGCAGGGAGGCCATCCAGTTATTTTAGCCGGGCCGGCTAAAATGATTGGTCGTGCTTTTTACAGCGCCACGGCTTCCACTGATGACATTTTGTTAATTATGGATTTATTGTCAAAGCATTTAATGTATTCATTGCTATCAGGATGTTAAGAGCATTCCATGGAAAATAACAAAAAGTGTTTCTGAAATAAATCACATACCCCACCTTTAAATGTTTGTTTTCCTTCAATCTTGTCTTAAATATTTATCCTTGTTTGATGTTGCTTATGAAGCTGCTGTGATGCAAGAAAAATGTCAGGCTCGATCTGACAATAAATTATGGTATCGTATCGCTTAAAAAAAAGATGTAATACTCTGTTTTTCTTATTGAACAACACAGAGTGAGCAAAGACTCAAACAGAAAATGCTACTGCATGTATGAATATGTGGATATTATCGGAGATGTCATGTTTAATATGCAAAATCAAGAGCGTGTTCAACAGTCTAGAGACAGTGGTATATACATACTTACAAGCAAGTCTAACCACCGTAACAACATCTGCTTTCTATAAGTTCAGTTTGGGTTTTATCAATACAGCCACATTCCCACAGAGCCATTGAGGGGCGGCAGTCCAGACAGCCGGGGGGGGGGGGGGGTTTCCTCCTTGGTGGTTCTGAGCATGCTCAGTCAGGACTTCATTCCACACTCGGAGAGTCCAGCTCACTGAGGAACCTCTGACACTTGGTCATGAGGACTTTGATGGCCTCTGTGACCAGCACGTCGGGGGGCAGGATGCCGGTGGACTCCACTGTGACTGTGAGAGGAGAGCGCCATCAACTGGTGTACAAGAAGACTACAGGAATACCATCTGCCCTCAAGACATTTACTGTATATTTCACCACTATATATTCTTAACTAATATTACGTATTTACAACACAGACGTTAAAGCTGTTTAATCTTCACACTTGTGTGATGCTGTGTACATGAGCGGAAGGACTTACAGATGAAATGATCTCTCAGTCTGGCCAGCTTCACCACATTCTTCAGGTCATCATGACGGATCACTTCCCTGCTGCATGTGTCCAAGCGACTGTTCACTACCTTTGCAACATTTGTCCCTGAGGAGAACAACACAGAGCACAGACAACAGGACGATAAAGAACTCAACTCCACGGGCATCCTCTCACCTTTACCTTCATGCTTATGCTCCATTTAAAAAGTCAAAATTGACATTACATTTATGAAAGTGGTGAGACGGGATGGGTACTGAAACCCGGTCTACAGGGCTACATTTTAAAGACCATGGTATCGACAGGCTTCAACATTATCGGTTTTGTTATCGGTCCGGGGGACATTTTTAAAATACAAATAAATTAGATTTAATATTTATTATTTCTACATAAACATTGTCTCTAATAAATTCTGTTTCTAATTTGCAATACCATTACAAAATGTGTCTTTGTTGCTTTTTCACTCATTCCAATCCATAAGAGCGATCTCTCTCGCTTTGCAGTAAATAATATTTTATTTTATTTAGTTTATATATTTTATACATTTTCCTTAAATAAAGCAATGTTATTTCTGTTTTTAAATTTGTTTAGTTTTTCCCTTTAAAAAATAGCAAAAATAACCTATAAGAATACCGTTAAAATACAGTAAGCAGTTAAAAAGATACCCATCCCTAATGGTGAGAATGTATCTATTAACTTCAAGTCACTCAAGTCTTTTTTAATATGCTGGGTGTTTCTCAATGTCGAGGACGCTTCCTTGGTAGGACAAGTCCCTCTAAGTCAGGTCCTTCAGAAGCGATGCAAGAATCCTTCCTAGCCTCGGAAAACAAAGAATGGTGGAACAGGCTAACAGGTGTGCAGGTGTGCGTCATATGCGAGGCCCCGCCTTAAATGGAGCGCGATTTCCGCCAAAGATTTGGAAATTGGTCCGTGCAGCCTCCAAATTTCCCGCAACGAAGGACGCCAGCCTCGGTAGAATTCCAAGCATCCTGGATATTGGAACAGTCCTTCGGCGGGACTCGATGACGTAGCATCCTTGAAATAGTGGCTCTGGAGCAGCCTTCCTCAACATTGAGAAACACCCGCTGTATACCTGGGCATATAAGCTCTCCCTAGATTAAAGAAAACATTTGGAAATGTGCTGAATGCTCAATTCTCAAGTTTTAAGCTATTTCATCATGCCCTCTGAAAAGTCTATCTCTATTTGGTTTTGGATGGACAAGGTTTGTTTGACGTACCGTTCACATCTTCTATGTCTATGACTCCTCGTGAGAAGCAGCGTTTGAGGCGCTCGGCCTTCTCCCCCTCCACCGGCTCCAGCAGGGTGATCTCTGGCAGCAGCCGGTAACTGGCTGTGGCCACCGGAGAGAACTTAGCATGGTCCTGACCTGACAGAACACACACTTCAGTATCACTGCAGTAGCATCTGGACTCATAACATGATTAAAGTACATGTAATATGTGAGCTTTGTCCAAACCAGCGGACAATGTCCAGACAAAGAATACTTTGTCAATGACAAACTCCACCAAAATAACATCTTTGCTTGTACAAAACTCTAGAATCAACGTTTAGTTAAGATTTAACTGTCAAAAATGTCAGGGGGAAATAAAAACGGAAAGACATAAAAGGCCAGGAAATTAAAGTGCTTACTTATTCAAACTGAACGTAAACAGAAACGCCCCTGGTCCTTCCCCCTGGGGACCATGCTCTTACCGATGCCCTTAACGCAGTGCATGATGATGTCCAGCTCCTGGCCGGGCCGCAGCTGAGCGATCAGGATGTCGTCGTGCACCGGTCTGATGACAGAGTCTGCAAACACGTCCGCCTGGTTCCCAATGGGGACCCACGTGATGTCGCTGGAGTAAACTGAAACAAGACAGCAGAGGGGAGAAACATCATCAGCTTGTTGACGTCAAATGGAGAAATGCTTTCTGTGAGAATGTATCTGCAAACACCTGAACCTACCCATGTGGTTCAGATACAGCTCTCGGGGGTCAGAGGAGTCTTTGGTGGCTCGGGGGTTCCTACTGCATTTGATCTTTAGCTGCAGCTGAATTGTGTCTATTTCTGAACCTTGTTCCTCTGCAGACTCTTCACCTGGGAGAAACAAAGCAGAACTGAAACATGTTCAACTCTTTATGTTCAGATGTGTAGAACTGATGTACAAGATATTAGATATATTTCCATCTTGTATTTATTCTGCAGCACTATTTATTTAAAGGACACCTATCATGCTATATTTGAACAATATATTGTAGGGCCATACCTATATAAAGTATATAAATATAGTTTTTTTTTCAAAATACCAAAAAGATCCTGCATTTTAGCGATGCCTCATTTCGCTCTATTTGCTCTTTCCAGCGCTGTTTTTGCAGGGGGCTGATTCTGTGAGCTGCAGCTGACCACGCCCCCCTGCAGGAGAGGGGAGCATGCTTTGAGATCAGCTGCTGGGCTGCAGCGGGGAGAAGAGGGGGAGAAAAAGAGATCTCCGTCCTCCGTGTTTTATTCTTATAGAAGTAAGAAGAGTGGCGGGGGAAGCCTTTGGATAGACCTGGTAAGACCTGGTAAGACCTGGTAAGCCCAAACGTGTAGTTTGGGTGAACTGGGAACGTCTGGAGGAGGCCCAAGTTCAGGAGGCCTTCAACTCACACCTCCGGCGGAGCATTTCGGGCATTCCTGTGGAGGTTGGGGACATTGAACCAGAGTGGTCGGTGTTCAAAGCCTCTATTGCCGAAGCGGGGAGCTGTGGTCTCAAGGTCCTAGGTGCCTCAAGGGGCGGTAACCCTCGAACCTCCTGGTGGACACCGGTGGTCAGGGAAGCCGTCCGACTGAAGAAGGAGGCCTTCAGGGATTTGTTATCCCGGGGGACTCCCGAGGCAGTTGCAAGGTACCGACAGGCCCGAAGGGCAGCAGCCTCATCCGTGGCCGAGGCAAAGCAGCGGGTGTGGGAGAAGTTCGGAGAAGACATGGAGAAGGACTTTCGGGCGGCACCAAAGTTGTTCTGGAAAACTGTCCGACACCTCAGGAGGGGGAAGCAGGGAACCATCCAAGCTGTGTACAGTAAGGATGGGACGTTGTTGACCTCAACTGATGGAAGTGTTAGGGCGTTGGAAGGAACACTTTGAGGACCTCCTGAACCCGACAACTCCGCCCTCTATGTTAGAGGCAGAGCTGGAGTATGACGGGGATCAACACCAATCTCCCGGGGGGAGGTCACTGAGGTCGTCAAACAACTCCACAGTGGCAAAGCCCCGGGGGTGGATGAGATCCGCCCGGAAATGCTGAAGGCTCTGGGTGTTGAGGGACTGTCATGGTTGACAGGTCTCATCAACGTTGCGTGGAAGTCGGAAACAGTACCGAAGGAGTGGCAGACCGGGGTGGTGGTCCCCCTTTTTAAAAAGGGGGATCAGAGGGTGTGTGCCAATTACAGAAGCATCACACTACTCAGCCTCCCCGGGAAAGTTTACTCTAAGGTACTCGAAAGGAGGGTCAGGCCGATTGTCGAACCTCAGATTGAGGAGGAACAATGCAGATTCCGTCCTGGTCGTGGAACGACGGATCAGCTTTTTACTCTCGCAAGGATCCTGGAGGGGGCCTGGGAGTACGCTTATCCGGTCTACATGTGTTTTGTAGACTTGGAGAAGGCGTATGACCGAGTTCCCAGGGAGTTACTGTGGGAGGTGCTGCGGGAGTATGGGGTGAGGGGGTCTCTACTCAGGGCCATCCAATCTCTGTACTCCCAAAGCGAGAGCTGTGTCCGGGTCCTCGGCAGTAAGTCGGACACATTTCCGGTGAGGGTTGGCCTCCGCCAGGGCTGCGCTTTGTCACCAATCCTGTTTGTAATATACATGGATCGGATTTCGAGGCGTAGTCGTGGGGGAGGGGGTCTGCAGTTCGGTGGACTAAGGATTGCACAACTGCTTTTTGCAGATGATGTGGTTCTAATGGCTTCATCGGTCTGCAACCTTCAGCACTCACTGGATCGGTTCGCAACCGAGTGTGAAGCGGCTGGGATGAGGATCAGCACCTCCAAATCTGAGGCCATGGTTCTCAGCAGGAAACCGATGGACTGTCCACTTCAAGTAGGGAATGAGTCCTTACCCCAAGTGAAGGAGTTCAAGTATCTCGGGGTCTTGTTCTCGAGTGAGGGAACAATGGAGCGTGAGATGGGCCGGAGAATCGGAGGCAGCGGGAGCGGTACTGCAGTCGCTTTACCGCACCGTTGTGACGAAAAGGGAGCTGAGCCAGAAGGCAAAGCTCTCTGTCTACCGGGCCATTTTCGTTCCTACCCTCACCTATGGTCATGAAGGATGGGTCATGACCGAAAGAACGAGATTGCGGATACAAGCGGCCGAGATGGGTTTTCTCCGCAGGGTGGCTGGTGTCTCCCTTAGGGATAAGGTGAGAAGTTCGGTCATCAGGGAGGGACTCGGAGTTGAGCCGCTCCTCCTTCGCGTCGAAAGGAGCCAGTTGAGGTGGTTCGGGCACCTAGTTAGGATGCCACCTGGGCGCCTCCCTAGGGAGGTGTTCCAGGCACGTCCAGCTGGGAAGAGACCAAGGGGTAGACCTAGGACCAGGTGGAGGGATTATATCTCTTCGCTGGCCTGGGAGCGCCTTGGGATCCCCCAGTCAGAGCTGGTTGATGTCGCCAGGGAAAGAAAGTTTGGGGCTCTCTGCTGGAAACTGCTACCCCCGCGACCCGACCACGGATAAGCGGGAGAAGATGGATGGATGGATGGAAGTAAGAAGAGAAGTAACGGGGCAGAAACCCTCCTTTTTACCCAGCGGTCCAGACATAGACATCAAACGGCGACACATATTCAGTTGCCAGTTACTTTGGCATTAGGGCATGGATATCTAGATACTTTCCATGGTTTGACATAATAGGCGCATTCACACCGCAGTACTTTTCCCACAAAGGTTCATGAGAACTTAGTTCATGAGAACTCTTTAGTTCTCATGAACTAAGTACAGATCGCATTCACACCGGAATAAGTCCCTGGGGGTGGATTAGGCAAATGAAGCCGCTGACGTCTCTTCTTCTTCTTCTGCTTTGGGTTTACTGGCAGGCCGCAAACCAGTTCACGGCGTATACTGCCGCCCAAAGTCCCCGGCCGGAAGTCCCCGGAGTTGGGGACTGGCTTCAGTAGAAGCTGCTGGGACTCCCAGCAGCTTCTACTGAAGCCTTCCGAGTAAATCGCCAGAACGCCGACACCTCCTCATCTCCACCGCTCCCATGTTTTATTTTGTGTTGCCATAAGTTAGTCTCTCTGCGTTTCTGCGCTGGGCTAATGCTAATAATGCTAATGTGAGGATAATAAAATGGCGGCTTCACAAAACTTTTTGGGAGTTTTACGGGGCGTGGTTTGCAATCCACCCAGCCAATCAGAAATATAGCTCTTTTCTCACAAAAGAGCTGCTCGAAAGTCCCTGCTCTCTAGCAGGGACTTTCGAGGGGCTAAAAAGGTTCTCATGAACTAATTTTAGTACCGGCTCTTTTTGGTGTGAACGCGATAAAAGAGTTCTCATGAACTAAGTTCGCATGAACCTTTGTGGGAAAAGTACCGCGGTGTGAATGCGCCTATAATGAATTGTGCTACTTTTAAAGCAAGCAACGATGTTTTCAAATCTGTAATCAAAAAGCTCCTCAAAAACACTATCGAAGCAGTTCCTGCCGTTGCTACGTTAGTTCAAACGGTAACAACGGACTATTTTTCTTAGCGGATGCATGTCAATTTAAAATCAATACATACAACTATTTTTTAAATCAATAAAATCATTTTCTAAATCCATAAAAGCATTTCAATTAATATTGGGAGTCATGTCATTACTTTGTTAAGAATGTGGCCATGTAATAAGTGGGATAATGTGCACATTGCATAATGTGCCTTCATGCCGATCTAGATCCTTCCGCTTCGTGTCGGGCTCCTGATCAGCCTGTCGGTGTTCTTTTCCCCATAATGACCGCGTCGCTGCACATTATTCCTTACATATGATTATATAGAGTCATTATTCATTTGTTTTAAAGCAGGAGCAAACGCTTGCCTCGGGGAGGGAGAAAAAGAGCCACAGCGGAGAATAAACAGAAGGGCAACCATGGCAACCATGCAAGGGAAGTCTTCTTTGCTACTTTTGTGGCAGACTACAGCGCCACCTACAGGCCTGGCATATGTACTACAGCGTCTCCAGCGCTTTCGAGCAGCAATGGCCGGCAGTGGCCCAACCTCTCATTCCCCTGATACGTGGAGAATTGACCAATAGCCATAGCGCCACTTTACTGACGTCAGGACAGTGTTCAAATCTGGATCAGTCTGTATCAGATCCGTTGCAGCCCCTTTTTTAGAGATTTGGGTATGGAGGAAAATGGGAGGGTTGTGTTTTCTGACACTTGGTGAGTTCCCTGGAACACCGGGGACACATATTCATGTATAAAAGATGTACAAAAGTGCATTTTGCATGATAGGTCCCCTTTAACTTGTCCTAAAAACATTGCACACTACATTAAGTTGTTTTTAAAGATATTTCTTAGGCCAGAGAGGCCTTTATTGAGAGATACAGTGGTGAAGGTGGGAGACCTGAAATGTTGTCCAGCCGGCTATTTTAATTGTTTGTATATATATATATATATATATATCAGTGCATGACATTAATGATTTTGGGAGATGACCCTGTGGGCCATCTAAGCTAATTTACAGATGGCCCCGAGCCCAATAGAGATTGCCCTGAAAAATGCGCACGGACGAAATGACGCACGAAGGGTTTGGGGGGCCTCCCCCTAGAACATGTAGATGTTTGCAGGTCTTAGATGCTGTCTGGTGCATTCTCTAGACTGAATTATAAGATGAACCACCACAATATTATATTGTACAATTTCAATTTTATTCTTCATTTCACTTGTTTGTTCTTGTTTGTGTTTGCTCGCTTGCATGCCCTGCATAGCTATAAGAAATACTTAAGTTGTTGGTCAAGACACTTTCCATCTGATGAAGGCAAATGCCTTCCCAGATGTAAAAAAGTAGAAAATATTACATTCAGTTATAACTGCCAAAACAAACATTATTTACACTATGATGGCCCCTGTTAAAAATGTTTGTAATAGAGAACCGCAGTGACGCGCCCTAAAACCCGGAAGTAAGTTAGCATTTTTACCACTTCCGGTTCCTTCGATAAAAAGCAATGCAATTTCTTGCGAGTGAAGTCTAATCTGACGGGAGAGAGATCAGCTGCTGCTGACGAGTCGACAGGCAGCTCTGCATAATCACATGCAGCGGTGAGCGGAACAAAACACACTTCAGGTTAGAATATCACACGTAGCTATTTTAATTACTTCTCAAACTACCTAAACTAGTTATAGATATGTTTAGTTTTACTGTCGGGTCACTCATTACTGGATCCGCGAGCTGCATGATACTGGCATAATAGATTGCCCGATCGGGCAACCAGCAGGTGAGGCTTCATTGCCCGAGCTAAATACTAGATGGCAGTCCTTAATGTCGAGCCCTGTATATATATATATATATATATATATATATATACACACACTGAACAAAAATATAAACGCAACACTTTTATTTCTGCTCCCATTTTTCATGAGATGAACTCAAAGATCTAAAACATTTTCTATATACACAAAATAACCATTTCTCTCAAATATTGTTCACAAATCTGAAAAAATCTGTGATAGTGAGCACTTCTCCTTTGCCTTAGGCTGGCCACAATAAAAGGCCACTCTGAAACGTGCATTTTTGCTTTATTGAGGGGGTCTGGGGGGGTCCGAAAACCAGTCAGTATCTGGTGTGAGGGTTAGGGTAATGTTGTGAATCGAGTGGCCCATGGTGGTGGTGGGGTTATGGTATGGGCAGGCGTATGTTATGGACGACGAACACAGGCCACTCGATTCACAAAATTACCCTAACCCTACCCCTCACACCAGATACTGGATAAATGGTTATTTTGTGTATATAGAAAATGTTTTAGATCTTTGAGTTCATCTCATGAAAAATGGGAGCAAAAACAAAAGTGTTGCGTTTATATTTTTGTTCAGTGTACATATAACCAGAGTCCCATTGAGAATTACAATCTCTCTTTCAAAGGAGACCCAGACAAGACAGACAGCAGCATGAACAAATACGCAGAGTTACAGAGAAAACACAAGGTTTCTTTATTTGTTACTACTTTAGAAAAGCCATTTAGGCGGCACAAAGAGTTGTTTTTTAGCATGTTGTGTGTCATCACATTGGCCTTTATAGAGACCAAGCTTTGGAGAAGGAATATCGGTGAACAGCCATTGGTGGTTGATTAATGTTGTTGTGGCTTTCAAACATTAACATCAGACCAGAAAGTGTCGGCTGTAAATGATGTGTTCTTTTTAAAAGACCAAAATTAATGGGTTGTCTTGTGAACATGCTCTCTGTACCAACAGAACTTCCTGAATGATGTGCTGCTCTGTACCCCACAGCTCCTCCAGTAGTGTGCTCACAGTCTTACCAGCGTCCCTGTACTCAAACAGGCGGGGATCCGCTTTGATGGGGACGAGGCCTAATCTGTGGGCCAGGACTTCATCCTGGACGATGGATGTGTTGTTATAGATAAACACCTTCTCTATGGCCATGGTAGGCACCTGCAACCAAGAACAATGCAGAGCATTACCAATATACACTACCAGTCAAAAATGTGGACACACCTTCTCATTCAATGGTTTTAGTTTATTTTAAAAAAAAATTGTTTTACTTTGTAGATTAATACTGAAGACTAGAGACTATCTAGTTAACAAAAAAGTGTAAAAAAAAAAATCCAGAATATGATTTAGATTATAGATTCTTCAAAGAAGCCCATTTTTGCCTTGATGACAGCTTTGCACACTCTTGGCTTCTCTCAGTCAGCTTCATGAGGTCGTCACCAGTGCTGGAATTGGGCCGGTACTCACCGGTACGCAGTACCGGCACTTCTGGTTCTGACCCATGGAGTACCGGCACTTCTTGCTCAGTACCGGCATGCTGGCAGTACTCCGGTACTCATGCACCGTGCCAGTACTCAACACTCTCCCGCCGTTCTTATTATACATCCATATATATATATACAGCCGCCCGGTACTCAGTAGATGCGTCATGAGGTGCCGAACGGACATTCTCATCGCTCTAACCGCTGGAGTTTCACAGCGGCTGTCAGCGGTTTACTCCTGTCATTCAAACAGAACGTGCTGGAGAGGGGGCGGGGCTTATCTTCTCCATGTAAATACTGTGGTGGAAACGACTATGTCAAAATTAACCTATTTGACCGTGATTTAATAGTAATACACGTTTCAAAATAATAATAATAATAATAATAATGCCGAAGTAACAACATACTGAAAACTGTTAGTAAAACCATGTTTTAATGCTTTACAATTTACATACCTAGATGCACGTGTGTTGTGTTTATGCAGTGCAACTCCCACCCAGTGGGTGGCTATGTAGAGTGATAGAACAGAGCAGGCACGCCCCAGAGAGAAGGAAAGCAAGTCACGTCACAAATTAGCATTTCTAAAATGTTAGCGTGGATTAATAAAAGTGCAAAAAGACAGCGGTTGTCGCCGGAAGAAACTTCAAATACAGAGAATGCTGTGCCTGTGTTGGAAATTGTGTCTGATGGGGAGCTTTCTTTGGTTGATCCTCCTGCTCCAAGTTCTAGTGCATTAGCATTAGCACTAGCTCCGCCGCCTCCTCCAGAGCCTCTAACGTTAGCTGCTGCTGGCGCAACTGCCACCACCAACACCGGGCAAAGCGATGCACCTGACTGCTGGACAACGGACCAGGTGCAATATTTTTGCAAGACCAATGCATGGCTCCTTCTTAAAGATAAGAAGCTAGGATGTCGGATATGCAGAGATGTCAAATCTTCGGGAATACACACTGGACAAGGACTGCAACTGTCAACTGAATGGGGTGAGTGTGCAGTGTCTCATTTCGGTGTTGACAAGGGCAAACAACAAGCTAGCCTGAGAAAAAAAATCAAAGAACATAAAGAATCACAAGCCCATGTAAAAGCTGCTGACATCCTTACATCTGCTTCACGTGAAACTATTCAACATCAAGTGCAGTCTATGCATACATCTGAATTAGACACCACTATCAGAGTTTTTTCGAACGGCATATAAAATTGGCAAACATAGCCGGCCATTCACAGACATGCCAATTGATTTGAATGTACAGAAACTGAATGGGCTGAACGTGGGCAGGGTTTTACACTCCAATAAAACCTGTGGCGAAATCATCGACCACATAGCTCATGAGCTGAAGAAAAAAATGGCAAAAGACATTACAGAAAACCAAAGAAAACTCTGTGTTTTGGTCGATGAATCTACCACTATTAATGGTAAAACGGTGCTTGTTGTGTGTCTACGCTCAGCATTAGCTGATGCTGAGCCCGAAACGTTTTTTTGGGAGCTGATCGAGTTGGATGGAACAACGGCTGATGACATCACAAAGGCGTTAATGGAGTGTCTTGGAAGAGATTTTAACGAGGACTTTTTAGGTCAGTGTTTCGTTTCTTTTGCATGTGATGGGGCTTCAGTCATGCTAGGGAAGAGAACAGGCGTTGCTACCCAGTTGTGTAGTAAATTCCCAAGCCTGTTTGTGTGGCACTGCTCCAATCATCGTCTAGAGCTGGCAGTTGGGGATGTGGTCAAGGAGGTCTCAGGGCTCAATCATTTCCAGATCTTTTTTGACAAACTCTATTCCTTGTTCCATGCCTCCCCCAAAAATCAGAGGCAGTTAGCGCAGTGTGCGCAAGCAGTCGGACAGCGTCTCCTGGTGATAGGGCGTGTTTTGTCCATCCGCTGGGTGGCTTCAAGTGAAAGGAGCGTCAGAGCAGTCTGGGAAAACTACCGAGTGCTTCATGATCACTTCACAAATGCTGCAAACGACACGAGCAGGGACACCTGCTGCCATGGAGCCTCTACTGAAAGCAGTCCGAACCATCGCTGTCTCTACTAGTGAGTGTGAGCGGGCATTCAGCTGCATGAACGATATCCTTACTGCAAAAAGGAATGCTCTCTCTGTCAGCCGACTGTCCAGCCTGGTTTTCATTAAATGTAATGGACCATCACTAGGACAGTTCAATCCGGAACAGTATGTGAGGTCCTGGCTGGCAAAGGGAAGGAGAAGTGCTGATGAAAGAGCCTGTCCAGCTCCAGCCCCTGATACTGATGTCCCCAAGGCCTTCTGGAGCCTTTTCTAACAATGTGAAGTATATTGCAAAGCAGCTCACCCAGTGAGAAGACTTTTGGCATAATGTGCCGATTTGTACAGATCCTGGAGATAGAAGGACTTCAGACCAACCAGGGAGTTATCTGATCAGCTTGGTGTTCAATGTAACTCTTTACCATGGCTCAGACTTTGTTACTTGCAGTTACAGTTTCTCATTTTAGATTGTGCAAATTTTGCATTTGTTTTTACATGTTCTTTGTTCATGCTCTTTATCATTTTTCTGAGTTGGAAAGTTAGATTGCATCATAGTTTACTTTATACATATTGGTATTCTTCAGTGGTGAAGTATATTGCAAAGCAGCTCAGCCATGTGAGAAGACTTTTGGCACTTTTTCGTTTTTCGTTTTCTGAGTTGGAAAGTTAGATTGCATTCAAAATATACAGAAATACTTAATTTTGTTAAAGCTTTTTATAAAAAATGCTTCTGACCAGAGCTTTGTTTCCTTGTCATTAATGTTGAACACCACCAGAGGGGCTCTCACCTGAAAGGTCTCTGCTTCATGTGTCTTCAGCAGAAGATCTAGACTTTGATTGCTATATTTTCAGTTAATATTGACCTTACTGAGCTTTAGCCATATCCGCTGCCCATCATAAAAAATGTTACGTACAGTGAACCTTTCTAAAATATACAGTAGTAAAGAGACAAACCCACCAGCATTATAGTAGCCAAATTCTTGTTTGTGGGCTGTATATATAAAATTGACTTGAAAAAGTTGCTGATTTTAGAGTACTGGCACCTTTTTCATTCCAATTCAAGCACTGGTCGTCACCTGGAATGGTTTTTCAATGAACACGTGTGCCTTTTCAAGAGTCCATTTGTGGAATGACTTGCCTTCTTAACCTGTTAAGCCCCAAGCCTGTTTTTCAGGTCTCAGGCTCGAAAATGACATTCCCAGAACAAATGACTTTTTCTTCACTTCTAAAAAGGGGTAAATTAATAATCTTTTATCTCAAAGCAATGATAAACCTGTGAGTTGGATGTAGAAAAGTCAGAATCAATATAGAATCTTTTTTATTTTAAAGTAAATTCAGATTGAACAAAAATGTAAATTATAGTGTCCGTCCCAAAAATAAAAAATGTATGATACTTATTAGGGGTGCAACAACTAATCGACTTAATCGATTAAAATCGACTACCAAATGAGTTGCCAACTAATGCAGTCGTCGATTCGTTGGTGACGTCATCACGTGTGTTTTACACGCCGTTAAGCTCCAACGTTATCGGTCTTTTTATCGGTACAGGAGACATTTAAAAAATATATGTCATGTATTATTGCTACAAAAACATTATATCGCAGTCTTAGTGTCGCCAACTCGTTTCTAATATGCAAAAAGACAAAAATATGCGTCTATGGTGTATTTTCTATCTTTCCAATCGAGACGAGATCTCTCTCTCCCCCGTCTGTGTGCAAGGGGGCGGGCAGTTTACACACATGCAGCTGCTACTACATGCGTGCAGCAACACACGGCGGGGATGGCGGAGAGAAGCGCTCCCAAGGTGTGGTTAAACTTTACCCGTCTCGATGTGGACAATGCTCGTTGCCAATAGTGCAATAATAGTTTAGCATGTAAGGGCGGTAACACGAGCAATTTGTCTAAACATTTAGCAAAAGTGCACCACATCCAGACGGAGGAATGCACCGGTCTCGACTGTCTTTCTAGTAGCTCTGTAGCTCCATCCACGAATAACGTTTCCACGTCAGCAACACACGGAGATAACAAAATGATACAAACATGGGTTAATGATTAGAGGTAATTGAGTTATTTATTTTGTTAAAGTTTCAGCTATTCTGTTTACAGTTCTGTCATCACATTATTTAATACGATTTGTTAAAACATTGTTATTTCTTTTGATGTGAAATATTATTTATTTAATTTAAATTAAAAGCAATGTTAGTTTTGTTCACAATTTGTTAATTTAATTTAATAATGTATGTATTTTTGAATCAAGTATTCATCTTTATTGTCTTCATTGTTAGTTTCCACATGCCTAAAACAACCTCAAGCTAAATCTAAAAGTTGATGGCTAAATAAGAGCGTTTGAGAAATTGTGCAAGGCATAATAGTCCGAATAGTCGATTAATCGTTTCATTAATCGATAGATTAATCGATTATCAAATTAGTCATTTGTTGCAGCCCTAATACTTATACCTCTAGAATCTGTGGAATCTCAGATTTAAATCTGATATATTGTTTGTGCAGATCCGATACGTAATAAGATATTTCTACCGTGAGTTCTGTGCTAAGTGCGTTAGCATTTTTTCGCTCAGTGCTAATTCAGAGCAGTGTTAAAGGTCCCACGTCATGGCCATTTCCACTGATCATAATTCCATCGTTGAGGTCTACTAGAATAGATTTATATTGTGCAATTTTC